GTTACCCACACAAGCTACATGTAACAAACAAATAGATTAATTTCATGACAAGAATAGACAAAGCAGACAACTGTACCGAAACTGAAGGTGGAAAGAACCAAGACACGCCACCACTGCGACCACAACTTCGTTCTTCTAGTGTCTTGCACAGACATGCCATTTCTATAATCTAATGCATCATCATCACATATACCAAAGTCAGCAATACAAGTTTAATCTACTAAATTACACACATAAAGGAACTCACCCTTGTTGAAATTCTGGTCCTGGGCAAAAACTCGACCAAATCTTCACGTAACAACTCAAGAGCCCCGCCATCAAGACGAACCAATATGTCACTGTTATACAAGACCAAGTTCAAACACCACAACATTAGAATAAGGCAAATACCAAAAACATCCTACAGATATGATCCAATCTTACTTGTAATGATTTCGGGAGGTACCTTCCGGGAAGCGAACTACTAAAAGCAAATTGAATCATCTTTACTGCCTCCAGAGTCAATGGTGTCTGAACAACAAAGGGAGGAGCATGGTACAAAGGTTGTGCTTTCTTAGCTTTGGGATTTGCACGTTCGAATGGAGAGACCACATACAAACTAGGCTTCAATTTAGATACACTACGTAGTCCACCTCCCTTTCGCCCCTTTATTGTTCAAAAACATAAAAATAAAACAAGTTCATTAGTAACCACACCATAAGTACAAATAATTAGAAAACTTAATAAAGTGTAATACCTTCACAGTCTTGGCACAACCATCATTAGCAGCAACACTTTCATCACTCAACAATACGAATTTCTCAACTTTAGACGCTTTCTCCTGCTTGCAAGGAGACTTTTTCACAACTTTGACAGAAGGAGATTCAGAACCGCAGTCATCTCCAATTTCCCCCTCAGCTTCTCCCCAATTCTTAACACCTAACCCTTGAGTCTTGACAGATTCGGAGGTCGGAGAAATGGGTTCACTTGGTTTTTCAACCTCAGCCTTCTGATTGCCCTTTTCCCCTCTGATAAGCTGCTCCGTTGACAACAAAACAGCTGCAGAAGCTTTCACATTATCAGCCTCATCCTTCTGATCGTTCTTTTTCAACTCAGTAGGCTGCTCCCTTGACAACGGATCACCTATAGTTGCTTTCACTGCCTCTATAATGGACTTCACTTGACTACCAATTTCGTCTCTAAAAGCCCGAAATTCGTTCTCCATATTCACAACCCGACTCATTAGCTCATTCTCTCTGGAAGCAGCATCACCCATTGCAACTCTAAATTCTTGCCTAAAGTTGTCAATTCTACCCTCCATGGTAGTAAACCGAGCATAAATACGCTCACAGAGAAGCAGCTCATCACCGTCGGGTTTTTGCCGTTTCCCATCTCTTTTTTTCTGTTTCCTTGCAGGTGATTTCAAACCTGCATCCTCAGCTGATCTTTTACCCGAACTGCTGGAAACCTACAAATTAATTAAAAAGGGAACCAAATGTACCATTAGCATGCTCCAACTCGTCAAAAGAATCAAATATACTATCAGTCTTACCACTTTTGTTAACAATAACTCCATGTCTCCGCTCCCCCAGCTCAACAAATCCAAACTCCTATCAATGGTTTCGAAAATACTATTTGCATGCTCCAAGAATATTAACTACAAAAAAAAAATACTATAATCAACATGATGATTAATCATTACAAATATGTAGAAAGTAGGGATTAGCAATTATTTACCTCCAAGAACAGCAAGCAACCCGGTATATACTTTCTCCCCTCAACATTATGGTCGTAGATGCATTTGACCAATTCATTGAAGCAAAACGATGCCCAATTCTTCTTCGGAATATCGGCAACATCGAGGACAGCGTATACCGAAGATAACGAAAAGTCATCTCTTCTAGTTGGTACTAATAGCACCCCCATTACGTACAAAATAAACGTTTGAAGAAATAGATCGCCGCTATCTTTCATCTCCGACAACGCCTTCCGCATTAAGCTTGTGGAAATCGCCTGTCGGGCACAATCAGCTGTCGAATACACTCTAAATGGATTCAATTCCTCGGATCTTCGTCCCACTTCTTCACCATTCAAGATGATATCAGTACCTCCCTCAGGCACGCCCATAATTCGCTCGAAATCTTTGGCCGAAATATGGACTTTCAACCCATAAGCCTGAATTGAGCTTTCTTCCAGATTAAAGCTCTTCAAAAGGATCTCCAACAACTCACGTTGGAGCATTCTTCCTTTGACTTCAAGCATACGACCAAAGCCACATCTCTTAATGGCCTCTGATTGACAAGCCTCTAAATTTGAGACTAGCGAGAATACTTTCCTAGGAGAACAGCGGGTGCTAAAAATTTCATGACTCTTCGTCTTCATTATAGAACAATTTTAGCAAACTGCAAAATTAAAACAACAAAAAAATTATAAGCATGCCTTGAAACACGAATTATAAGCATGCCGAAGAGTACTAACAAAATACACAAAGCCAGAGTCGTCCACCACTGATCTAAAGAAGCAACTTTCAGTTTTCACACTTAAACACATTCGAGAAAACGTGGTTATGACAAAGTTTCATTCGAGAAAAGGATCATTCAATCATTCGGTAAACACATTCTCCAGGTAATGAGTTCAATCCTGGTTTTCAATATATGGCTTTTATCAATATTGAACAAATGCAAGACTATACCAGAGCTCACAAGCACACTTGCCTCGATATCAAGTTCTAACTACCAGAAGAACTGAAAACCCCCTACATCAACACCTGAGTACACTAATTAACCATGAAATCCGCCATTGGAATATATAAATTTCACCCAAAACACCCAGCTTCCATTAAATTTCACCCAAAATACAAATTCTCACGGCCGTGACATGACCCGTGAGAAGCAAAGAGTAGTTTTCATATCACAGACAATCTCACGGCTTTGGCTTCAAAAATCACGGCCGTTAAAATAAGCCGTGAAACTAAAAACACCGATAAAAATGTCACCCAAAACACCCAGCTTCCATTAAATTTCACCCAAAATGCAAATTCTCAAGGCCGTGACATGACCCGTGAGAAGCAAAAAGTAGTTTTCATATCCCCAGACAATCTCACGGCTTTGGCTTCATAAATCACGGCCGTTAAAATAACCCGTGAAACTAAAAACACCGATAAAAATCTGCCATATTCATTAAGCTAGCGAGCATAAGATCAATCTATTACTGAGCACAAACTTCAGTGGAGGCCCATCAATGTTCGATTTCAAAACTTCTCCAGTACTCTTCCACTTGCTAGTATAAGATACAGTGATCTGGAAACATATCAAGAAGCTAGAGACAAAGTTTTTTTAAAGTCTAACCAACCTACCAATTAATTTGCTAAAAACGAGACAATTTGATGATACAATCAACTAGTAAAGATTTCCAAACTCTACAGACTCACTCTGCCAGTATGAGAGAAGTACAGTTACAAAGACATCAAGATTTCAGGACCCTGCAGTTAGCATTTAAACATAGCAGAATCATGCATGCAGTCCATTCTGGAAATGACACTCAACCAAGTTTCTCTCATTTATGCTTTTCCTTTTTCACTTTTATGAACTAAATTTGTTTCTGGACTGAATATTTGTCCTGCATTTCAAATTAAACTTTCCATTGTTTTCCACACACCGCCACTGCCCGTATTAACGGGGTCTCTTGCTACAATGCTTCCAAGAAAATCAGTCCTAACTCCCTTCTAGGACTCCATTGTCGATATTAAATTACCAGGATAAATAGTAGAGTTTAAGGGCAACCAAATGCATAAATAGTTATGAAGTGATGGGTCATCTATATCACAGCCAGTGACAATTTCCATATGAACATCACACGTATACCAACTGACCAAATATAAATAGTATGAGGGACTGGACTAACATAGCAATCTTAGTTGCTTTCTTGGGCACCCACAAGGCTGTTTTCTTTGAAGAAAGCAGCTAAAAGGTTGTCCAAAAAGAATAAACATCATTTAGCAAGTAAAGCAGGTGCAGAGCTAAACTTCTATTCTTCTTCCAAAATCACATCAACACCTTCTGTAAGTCTAGACTTGGCTAAGTAGTTACCAAGAAGAACGACTTCAATGGGACAATATTGAAAATCCATCTTTATTTCTTCCCAAGTCTTTAGATGAACTAAAAATCCAAAATATCTTGCAAATAAAACAAAAGCCACTGAACATTTGTAACCTTCTACCCCACCATTTCCTAGGTTGGGGACAAGATGCAGCAGAACAGTAGTATTGATAAAGCATCATGGAACTTTAACATTTCATTTTCCTCAATTCGTTAACCAACATACGATCACCACCTGCATTAGAAGCAGCATAATCAGTAGCTCTGAAAACATAACAAATACACGAGCTTCTAACAATTTGGAGCAGTATGAAGTAGGCAAGAAAAAGATGTTGTTATGCGTTACAATGAGGTCTACTGATTGTATCAAATGTTCCACCACGATACCAACGCTTGCTAAAGATTCTACAATTTTGATCAGTCATATAAAATGAGATCGAGGCACGGAATGTACAATAAAGAATAAAACTGGGAGTAACTCCCAAGCTGCCGTATATTCTAAGGCCAACAGACCTCCTGTATTTGCATATCGATCAGCCACAACCATGCTCTAAATATCCTAACTAAGTTTGACCTTAATGTCTCATCATTCATGGAAGCTCTTTTACCCACTGCACTAAACTTTTTTTCTACATTATATACACAATTCTAACTCCCAGACAGTCCCTTCGGATACATCCGATAACTCCACAAACAGAAAACTCATACTATGAGGTGAACAGTTAAGATAAGCACCCATTTCTGTTGGTTAATCGCATGCTTGGAGCCACTAACCATAGCAAAGAGACTTAAATCAATCAAACAAATCATGGTCTTCAAACTTAACTACATTCATCAATTGGCTAAACAGAGAAAAATTCCCAACTTTCTCAGTGAACACGGCCTTTCTATCTACCATATCATATCAATCCTCCCACGAAGAAGATGGAAGAACTACAACAACAACATCCATCCAAAGCTTCCTCACCAAAGGAAGCATCATCAACAACCACAACCGCAACCACAACAACCACAACTGCTGTGAATTCTTCAGACTCGAATTCTTCTACCCTAACAACAGAAGAACCCAATGCTCCTCCTCAACAGAAGAATATTGAGGAACAACAACAACAACAACAACAACAGCCTGCTAAGGATGTTGCTGAAAAGGAGACAAATCAAGCACAACCTCAACAGCAAAAACAAGGTGAAGAGAAGGTAAATGCTGCAAATTCTCCTTCAAAACAAGTGAAGGAACAACAGGAACCGCCATTGCAGCTAATTATCAAGCTAAACACAAAGAAGATAGTACTAACCGAAAAAAGTTGCGGTGGAGGAGGTAGGTCAGCGGTCTTCGTTTGCTATCGATGGGAAGAGGGGGTTCTGTGCAGGGTCTTCGTTTGCTATCGATGGGAAGAGGGGTTTTGTGCAGAGTCTTCGTTAGCTATCGATGGGAAGAAGGTCTTCGTTTGCAATCGACGAAGAGATGCTCGCTCTCGTCGTCCCTTGCTCGCCGCCTTCACTATCGTCGTCGGAATCCGGAATCCGAATCGCCGCCTTCACTGCCGCCTTCTACTCGTGGTCACCCACTGTTCGACGTCTTCACTCGTCGTCACCCACTGCTCGCCGTCTTCACTCGTCGTCACCCACTGCTCGCCGTCTTCACTGTCGCCGTCTTCACTGCTCGCTAGATGCGTGGAGAGGATCGAAGGAAGGAAGAGGGGTTTCGGAGGTGAGAAGAAGAGTGTAATTGGTTTCGAAGGAAGAAGAGTGTAATTGGTTTCAGACAACCGGTTGTACCGGTTATCAACACACAAATAAAATAATAAATTAATAATTTAAATGAAATCTAATGGTTGATATAGTTTGGACATGATCTAATGGCTGTAAATGTTTTATAGTACCAATACTATAAAGCACACTAAAATGCCTCTTAATTAATAGAAAAAGGAAATGTCTTAAACTGTCCTAATTATTAGTATATTTAATTGGCAAGCATACTTAAGGGTTCTAGGCATATAGGGCAGGGTTCACCATAAGCTTACTTACACCCTCTTTTTTTCGTCCCGATATTTAACCGGCCTCCGCTTTTCCCCCTTCGATGATTCGCTGGCGGCTGAGCAAGTATCCTAATTAGTATATTTAATTGGCAAGCATACTTAAGGGGTCTAGGCATATACGGCAGGGTTCATCATAAGCTTACTTACACCCTCTTTTTTCCGTCCCGATATTTAACCGGCCTCCGCTTTTCCCCCTTCGATGATTCGCTGGCGGCTGAGCAAGTATCCTAATTAGTATATTTAATTGGCAAGCATACTTAAGGGGTCTAGGCATATACGGCAGGGTTCACCATAAGCTTACTTACACCCTCTTTTTTCCGTCCCGATATTTAACCGGCCTCCGCTTTTCCCCCTTCGATGATTCGCTGGCGGCTGAGCAAGTATCCTAATTAGTATAATTAATTGGCAAGCATACTTAAGGGGTCTAGGCATATACGGCAGGGTTCACCATAAGCTTACTTACACCCTCTTTTTTCCGTCCCGATATTTCTCCGGCCTCCGCTTTTCCCCTTCGATGATTCGCTAGTATAATTAATTGGCAAGTATACTTAAGGGGTCTAGGCATATACGGCAGGGTTCATCATAAGCTTACTTGCACCCTCTTTTTTCCGTCCCGATATTTCTCCGGCCTCCGCTTTTCCCCTTCGATGATTTGCTGGCGGCTGAGCAAGTATCCATCTCCTCCTTTCTTCTCCTCTTTTGCCCCTCCGACGATTGGCTTGACGGCTACCCAAGTGTCGGTCTACTTCCCCCCTTCTTCTCCTTCGTGAAGCCCTCAGTCGAGGATTGCAGTGGGCGGACAAACAACCCATGAAATCCAAATCGACAAGCATCCGCGGTACCGATACTGCCGTTATTCCTATCAATGAAACAAACCCTGAAATCAAAATCGAGAAGCTGAATACCTTATCGAACATAGCTTTGAGGTGACGGTGGTGAGGTGCTGAATCGTTAATCAAAGCCCACCAAGAGCGAACAAAACCTCAGCCAGTTCATGGAAAATAACAGAAGGGAAGAACAGGGACTGCCGTCGATTTGAATCTTATGAGTTATGACAGACACAACTCCAGAGAGCTAACAAAGGAAACAGACGATGAGCCGATTTAGTGATTTTCCTCCCTACAATAGTTCTGTGCCATCCAATTTTCTTCGATCCTTTAGCACCCATTCCACCGCTCACCTTGATTGCATGCCTCTTGATCAAGACTCTTCCAGGAAATTGGAACCCAATCCTAATTTCTATTCTGCTACTTATCTAGCTAGCTAGCCAAAAGCTCAGCAAGGTTTCCTGCTCGACAATTTCATGGCTTGGGAATTGGGATCTCTGTCATTGAGGTTCTAGCTTTGTGATTATTATTTTGGTTTTTATCGTAGCTTTGTGGATGATAAGCTAGCCAAATTATTGATTTCTATCATTTTTGCATTTTATCATCCATATACATATGCATGAGTGACAGGTGTTTACTTCAAATTGAAACAATGTCACTGCTGGAGTCCAACACCATATATATATACTTTATGGGTTAAAGACACATTTGGTCACTAAGATTACTAAATCGGGACATTTTTAGTCACTAGAAAAACTTAATATCAATTTTAGTCACTCGAATTACTGAAACAGGTCACATTTAGTCACTCTCCGTTAGTCTCCGTCCAACTCCGTTAATGGAGTCCGTTAAGTGCTGATGTGGCAAACAGAATTGCCTAATCAGCGCCGTTTTGGGCCAGAAATGGTCAAACCTGACCCGCCACGTCACTAAACCAGCCATGTCATACACCCAACCCACTAACCCTACCCACCAACCCAACTCTAGCCCACTTAACAAAACAAAATTGAAAAAGCTCCAACTCATTCTCCTCCACTTCACCGCCGTCTTCCCCAATGAAACAACATCAGCAACAATTGCAAGATCATCACGATTAGAAGGCCCCTTCGAGGTCTCCCCCGACGGCATCGTGAAATTCAAGGAGAAAGATGGCATCGACTACGCCGTCCTCACCGTCCAGCTCCCCGGAAGCGGGAGGGTCCCTTTCCTCTTCACGGTGAAGCAACTCGTTGCTTCTGGAAAACCAGAGAGCTTCAGCTGCGAGTTTTTGGTTCCCAGGTACAGAGGGTCGTTGTTCTTGGACCCAAAGGGCAGAGGCGGGTCCCAGGGTTATGACAACGCGGTGACGTTGCCCCCGGCGGGAGAGGGGATGAGGAAGAGCTGGCGAAGGAGAATGTCAAGAACGCGGCGGCGTCGAAGGGGAAGATTACATTGAGCGTGACCAAGAGCAAGTCGGAGACCGGGGAGGTGATTGGGGATTTTTTAGAGCATTCAGCCGTCGGACACCGATTTGGGTGCCTCAAGGATGTGAGGATTCAGGGGGTTTGGTATGCTCAGCTTGATTAACTAGAGAGCAGAGGTTGATGATGAAAAACTTTTGTTTCATTGGGGAAGCGGCGGTGAAGAAGAGGAGAACGAGTTGGAGCTAGGGTTTTCCAATTATGTTTTATTAAAGTGGGCTACGGTTGGGCTACGGTTGGGTTAGTGGGTAGGGTTAATGGGTTGGGTGTATGACATGGTGGGTTTAGTGACGTGGCGGGTCGGGTTTGACCATTTCCGGCCCAAAACGGCGCTGATTAGGCAATTCTGTTTGCCACATCAGCACTTAACGGACTCCATTAACGGAGTTGGACGGAGACTAACGGAGAGTGACTAAATGTGACCTGTTTCAGTAATTCGAGTGACTAAAATTGATATTAAGTTTTTCTAGTGACTAAACATGTCCCGATTTAGTAATCTCAGTGACCAAATGTGTCTTTAACCCAATACTTTATACATTTTAACAGGTTCATTTAATCGTGTCATACCATTAAAATTTACCTTTTAATTTAGGCTTTGATATGAAGTTTTTCATGTTCGAAATTCTGATATGATATGATTTCACAAACACTGTAAAAATTAGTATAGTTAATACGCATACAATGTTACATATCAAAGCACTTTACATTTATTTATATTCATTTTTCTTCCAATCAATATTTGGAATCGAGGGCATTAATTATGCAAGGTGGTGAACATTAAGTTATGAAGAAATGTGTACCTAAAAATGTGATAAAAGCTTCCGTATGCAATATATCATACGTCACGGAAATCACATCCAATCAAGGTTGTCGACCCGCGGGTTGACCCACTTTGACCCTGTCCCGCTGAGAAAAACGGGCCACAAGCACCCGCCGGGTCGAACGTTACAAGGTATCGGGATGGAGGTAAAATTGTGTTATTTTTCTTTTGTTTGCGAAATGTGCCTATTTTCCGATTTTTCTTTTCGCCTAACTCAATCTTTGGAATCCTTAGTCGAACATTTGAACGCTGATGTTATATAAATGTATGTGAATTTTCACTATATGTTGGATCTAAGTACGACAAGTTACTTTGGTGTAATGTTATATGTTATTACTCATATGTTAGATGAGATTTGATATAATTTATCAGGATAAGTACAATATAATAGATCTTTCCATATTTTCGGGCTAAAACGGGTGACCCATTAACCCTTGACCCACTAGCTCAACCGGATCTGGGTCAACCCATGGGTTGACAACCTTGCATCCAATTATGTTTAGTAGTCGAGACTGAAATAGGAGAATGTGAATTAACCTAACTATTAAATTCAAAATCTTATTATTATCCCCAAGATTAAAAAATTATAAAAGGTTTATTAAAATCTCTAAGACTAAGAACATATTTGATTTCATCATATGGGTTGATTTGGTTTGGATTTTTCATTGTTTTAAAGAGAATCCATGATATAAAAAAGGACATGAATTAACTATCTAAACATAATGAAACTATATACAATTTGACACACTCCAATCAAAATTATCGACATGAATTAACTTTCCAAACATAATGAAACTATATACAATTTGACAAAAACATAATAGATTGTTTAGCGTTCCCACCGTAAAGCGCGGGCCAATTATCTAGTATTTATATAACATTCATGGTTTTGATGAACAAAATAATCAATTCTCAATGAACATATACTCAAACATAGATTTCATTATATTTTCAACCATAGTATTTATTTTGTAAACTTTAATCGACCTACTGAATGAGTTAGAACAGGATGCACAATTAAATTACATTTGTATTTTATCACCGTCGAGAGTAATGAACAATCTCTGTATATTAGGCGACATTTAACAGCTTGGTCAAACCCCTTAGGAAATGAATTTTGAGCTTTATGAGGAACAGGTAGGATTAACAAAGAGCTTCAACATATCGTCTAGTTCAAAATCAAAGTGGCAAAGAATGCTAAAGACAGAAGAAACATAATCTGGAAAGCTAGTTGCAGATAGAATATTTAACAACTTTACGTTACATATAATAGTTTAGGGTTTAAACTTTAATCCTCTTTCCCTATAGATCTGAGTTTATGCATGGGGAAGTGTGTGTGGAGGCATACATCTAAGCACACTGTAATTCAAGTTTGACTTTCTATTTTTTATAATCAAAGGAATATCCTCTTAATAATATCAAATAGCTACTAATCAATAATATCCTCTTAATTATCCAACTTCTTAGAAATTAAAAAAAAAAAAGCATTCTCCCCCCTCTCTCCTTGCGATCCTCGTCGCAAACCTAATGAAGCTCATCACCGGCAAGGTGTCTATGGCAGAGCTCTGGGTGATTCCGACATCAACACTGTCTAGTGCATTCGACGCAGGGGCGGAGTCAAGATTTTAAGTTCGGGGGGCCAAAAAATTGATTATCGTAAAAAAATATATTGATGTCACCCCACAAAATGTTATTTAAGATAATTATAAGCACTAAAAGTATGATTTAAATTAAAAAATGTATCAAAGACATGCTCAAAATTATTAAATAAATTTCAACAAAAAATAATGCACCATGTTCTTCAATTTATGATAAGTAACAAATGAATGTCTATTAAAAATGGGAAAATAATTGAATTATTTGCTATATATTTAAAATTATCTTTGAAGATATAAATGTATAAGTTCAATTAAATTTACCTAGTTTGAAGTTAAATTACGTATGAAAGTATGAAAAATCAACTTAAAAGACAAGTAGTTAATGCACCATGTTCTTCAATTTATGATAAGTAACAAATGAATGTCTATAAAAAATGGGAAAATAATTGAATTATTTGCTATATATTTAAAATTATCTTTGAAGATATAAATGTATAAGTTCAATTAAATTTACCTTTAAAAGACAAGTAGTAGTAAAAAAGTTGTTGATGGGTATTGAACCCACAACCTCCTATAAAACAAAAGACCACTTATCCACTGGACTAAAGTAACCAGTTCAACAATAATATTGCACAATACAATTATATATACATGTATCTGAATTAATACATAGCTTAAAATTCTCGTCGTATTTTAACACGATCTTCAAAATTCTCGGGGGGACCGGGGCCCTCCGGAGTTCCTACCTAGCTACGCCCTGATTCGACGAGAATATTTAAAACATCAAAATCTCAACATACTCGTTACTCTCCTTATCAACTTTATCAAAACCCCACCAAAAAATATTTCGAGTTAAATTTTTCTCAATAAAACCAATTTGTGTTCAATTGGGTAGCCACTACGATGCCGTATTTTACAGAGTATACTAACTCGACAAGGGCTTCAAAGGTCCTTCCATATTGTTGGAATGTGGGCTATGGGGTGGTAGAAATACTAAGACGACAAAACAGAAGAGTAAGAGATTGTCTACTTGGTGTTTGAAAGATGACAAAATATAACCCCCAGAATTTAGGATTCCAGTCCCAAAAATGGACACAGCATCAAATAATTCAAACGAATTCGCCCACTTTCTTATCATCTTCTTCTTCTTTTCCTCACTTTTGCCTTTTGTTTTGTCCCCTTTTAATTTCAATGTGCCTTTTGAAGTTCTAGCCGTATCCCAAATCTATTATGTTTGTGCATGGATAATAATAATATATAGGTCCCTAATATATTTTTTTAATGACAAGACCACTTCACCAAATTCTCAAAAAAAAAAAAGATAAATTTCGAATATTATGATTTTGGGCTTAGTATTCTGGGTTGTGGGACTATGGGACACCAAAAGATTAATTTGATTGTCAAATTAATGACATGTCCTCGATTTTAAGTATATAAGATTCACCCAAGTCCAAAGATACTACAAATGGATACTAATAAAATTGTCTATTTATGATGTAGTTTGTGGTTTTTCTGGTTTACTTCATTATACTTGTGGTAATGTTTATGAGTTTTGGTATGTTTCAATAAACTTGAGGATCATGGTCTACCTTATGAGTTTTGTGGTGACAAGCGTGTTCGTTCCTTTAAAAACCAACATTAAATTGTGGTGAACCTCTTCAACATAAAAAGTTAGCAAAATGGAAGCTTCGTATTGGTTGGGGTTAGTGTTAACACAATCCTAACGAATTAGGTTTTCACAGCCTAACCCCAACCAATATTATAATACCTTAAGAAAATCTCACATTGACAAAACTCAGGAGATATATATGATTCATAAGAAACATCCAACTTTAAGTGATAAGACGCGTTTCATGATGAAATGGATGAGTTACTGTAAGAACTCTAAAGTTAAACGTGCTAAGGGTGGATCAATGCAAATATAAGTGACCTCCTGAGATAAGTTTTAATGATGCGCCTAAATGCAAAACCATGTGGGGTAAGTCTGAAGCACACAATATCTTGACTAGAAAATATCGGGATGTTTCTTATGAATCATATCTCTCTCCCGGTTTTTGACGTTCTGAGACCCGGGAAGTCACCGTGATGTGTCCAAATGTAAAACCATGCGAAGTAGGCCCAAAGAAGACAATATTTTGATAAAAAAGAGTCAGGATGTTCCTTATGATTCATATATCTCTCCTATTCTTTATCGTTGTGAAAATTGTCTAAGGTGTTACAAATAGTGTAATTGATGACTCGATATTTACACATGTTTTTGTCCGCCATTCTTATACTGTTTAAGGCTCGGATCTTGGGTTTTAAGCCGATTTTACGCTAGGTTGTTCTTGTTTATGACATTTCAGGTCCTAATGCGTGAATGAAGGTTTAAGCACGATTTTGGGGTCGATTGGGCGAAATCGAGACGAACAAGGGAGAGCAGACAAATTGCACGGCCAGTACGGGAAAGTGCACGGACGTGAATGGTGGCCTTTTTGGCTGTGTGAGATTTACCGAGAGGCTGCACGACCTGACCCTGTTTTCGGACGGTCGTGCGTGATGCATTTTCTGGCCGTGATGAATTATGCGAGAGGTTGCACGGCCAGGCACTCGGATTGCACGGGCCATGCAATGGCCGTGCACTCCCCTCGCGGAACTAATTGAAACTATGCGTTTTGGGTTGCACACTTGCACGGACAGCGAAGGAAG